CAAAAACCCCCCCCCCCCCCCCCCCCCCCAAGATAATTCTAACCAATCACTTTTAACCAGTGGAGGTGATGGCAGGCAGTGTTTGCTGCAGTTACTTATTCCACATGAGCTCTTGGGGCTTTCCCCAAATTTCTACTTATCTTCCCTAAATTCACAGAATGATAAAGGTGGGTGAAGTGTGTCTGTGCACACTTTCAAGTCCCCACCCCCTACAATTATTTCTAATCAGCTATTGCTACTGACCCAAAAGTTATTAGGTACAAACCTGCAGCAATGCTTATTCCTCCTGAGATTTTTAATGCTGAGCTATCTGTCTCACAACACTGGAAGAGGAAGCCTCCCTCTGCAAAGGAGGCGGTCATGAAGACAAACACAGCAATCAGACTCAGGTACTGGCAGGCTATGAACCACGCTGTGAAAGAGATGTATCGAGAAAGTCAATTAAATGTGTACCAAAATAAATGTTGTTAGTCATCCAGTAGAATAAGAGTGATAAATATGAATGATTCTGCTACTGGAACCTGCATTATGTCAGTTGTTAAATTTAAGTTCCAGTATCAGAGTTATTCATATTTATTAAAGTGAATTAAAATTAGGATTAGATGAAAAGTTCAAAATAGAATTAAGTCCCAACTCAAGTTTTATTACTGTTGTCTATGACTATAACATGTGTACAGTAGCATTAATTATATATATATGGAAACCAGACTCAAGCAGATACTAATAGGCTAACCCAGGCTTCAATAGAATATTGACATGTATAATTTAACAATAATTGATACATTAATGAAGTAGGAAATTTTGAACTTGGCTATGATTCATTTCACAAAGCATAATATAAAATTAATGTAGATTACATCTTTATAGATTAATAACACCTTATATGTAAAGACATGGTTGAAATTAAGTTTTTTTCCCAATTATGGTATAGATATCATTAATCTACAATGGGATTTTATGGTAGGTTGATAAGAAAATCAATTTGCATTTTAATCAAGATATTTGACCAGTGACTCACACCTGTTAATGCAGGTAGAATTGGGTCACCCAAGTCAGCAAGACTTAAAGTCTTCACAATTAACAAACTCATTGAATTTAACGGGCATTTTTACACCATATAAGACACAATTTAATTTTTTTACAACAGGTATCTTGTTGAAGCAAAGGTGTTATAGTTAAACCTGAATAGTGTATTAATTGTAGTTTTGAAGTGAAACAAATGCTGTTTTTTTGCCAGTATCTCCTGGTTAAAAATTCAGAAATAACATCCACTTTCACTAAACACATTTTACATTGTGCACAAACTCATAATGACCTCTCTTGACATAAATTTCAGTATATATCCCTCAATACTTACGTGGCATTAAGTGGTCTCTCATCCACCAATATTCTGGAGAATAAACCCACCAACATCCACTGTAAGGCTTGGCTAACAGGTCATCTGGGTTTTTGTAATTGTCCAGGCAAAACTCCCAAAGTCCGCATCGCACAAAGCCGTGACTGTCTCTAATGTCTGATTTCTCATACCAGTTAGGGGTGCAGAAGCCTACTATGTTGAATAGTAGAGCTAATAGGCTTAATGCGAAGCCGATGTAAAATGTAGCGTTGGACCCCATCTTTAAGTCTCCAAATTCAAGATGGTGGCCTCCTTCTATGGCAGTTGAGGGGGGAGTGCAGGTCTTTGGGATTGATGGGTGATTCATTATTGTTTGGTAATTTTGAAATTTTGTTTTAAGATTCTGCAGTTGGTATGTGTTTAGGATCAACCAAACTTGTCATATATACAATTGATATGGTTTTCCTCTACAATGAAAAACATTTCATTAGATTAATTCTGAATATGGGAGTCATTAAGTCATGGATTTATCAATCCCATGAGACCTTTTTTCACCTGGCTATGACAAACATACCTGGCTGCCATTTTAATGAGATCATAAACTGGGTCACTTGTATTCCAGCTGAAGGGGTGACAGGTTGTGTCACCCTGTAAGCACCAGATAAAGATATGATTGGTTTATTACCCGGTCTTTAAACTTTATCAAATACTGCAGTTAAAGTTAGGGCAAGTGCTGTAAACAATGTGATACAGATTTGTGGGGAAAAAATTGGCCAAATATTTTATTTATTCGTCCATTTCATTTTTATTTTATTTTTTTGTACTGACAACTAATTTGTTTGGAATTAAGACTTAAACAGTGTTCTTATAAACATGGGTGCAAATTCAAGAAGTGCATATTTAAAAATAGGGTTCATACCCGTATTGTTTCTGAACGTAGCCAGGTGTATTCAAGTAGAATTGGAACATTTCCAGACTGATTGTAAACTGTTAAATGATGGATAAAACCAGTTTTATTGCTCTTGTGTGTGGGATGAGTGGACAAGCCAGGATGTGGTAAAAATAATTATTATTACGCTGTTTGATCTGAATATAATTAAACATAACTCTCTGTAGCATCTTAAATTAATGAAAAGCAAACATCACGTTCATTTTACAAAAGTCTTTTTATTTTACAAAATGTATCTACATGGCGTCAAGTCATCTACAGCAAGCCTACTTCATAGTAGCATTAAAATAGGCATGATTTACATTGTATAGACCCCTCTGCTTATTATCTAATATTACGTATTGGCTGAATTTGGGCTGAGGGATAATTATCTGGTAATTGCATGCTTTATTCAAACAAGATCAATTAAATCTATTTCTCAAAACAAACTTCCATTTGTAGACAAAATCCAAAAAAGATGACTTATACATTCTCAAAATCAAGCTAATTTAAGATTAATGTCAAAAAGTATGCTTTGATTGGGAGAAACTAAAATGATCAGTTCTGATTCTGGAATAAGAAATAGAAATAAATGAAATGTTTGGAATAAGTGATCAGGTACCAGACTTGTGACCCATTTATCTTCATTCAGAAATCAGTCGCAAGCAACTAACTAAACTCATATACATACTAAGAATAGCACGTAAGAGCTAAAATAATTATCAGAACATGTCACTTAGTAGCAAACTATTATATATATATATCAAAACCCTGATATTTTTGACTTAAGTTTTCAAAATAAAAATGTAAAAAGGAATGCAAATGAAATTTGCCATTGTCACATATTGAGAGAAACAACTTGAGAAATATCTCGGAAAAGACAGCTGTTAGCTGTCAATTTTTCTAGGTACTTTGACCTATAATTAGTGCAAATTATTATTTTAACTCAAGAGATTATATCTCAGCTATAAAAGACTAGTCAATCCTAATGATTATGGTAACTAGTATTTAATATGATACAGTAATATATGTGAGGCTTTCAAGTAATATACACAGTTCTGAGTTACTCTTTGGGTTCTGCATTGCAGGCAGTTTTTTTGTACAATTGTTCAACTTTTTTTTACAGAAATATGGCTTGGTTCAAAGATAAGCACATTAAACCACATTTAAGTATTTCAAGTATAGAATGTGTAAGAAAATATTTTGAACTACCATTTTTATATTTCATAGTACAAGATTTGCAGGTCATCTCATCGTTTTCAGGTAACTTTAAATGGCACAACTTGTTTCCTTGCAGAACTTGTTTTGAATGTTGGTCCCCTTTTTACATATGAATCAATAACATGCAGAAATTTTTCTTAAACAAATCGCCATATGTATAGACAGAAAAATTCTGTTTGTGACGTAAACACGTCTCAAATGGTTAAATCTTTCACTATAAGCATTTAATTAGAAGTTGAGAAATAAGAAAATTAATGTATCTTATAGAAAACTTGGTAGTCTAAGAACAAATATACATATTTTTACTATCCATGTTGCCATGGCTCCACATATACATTGTACTAAAAGTTACGGAAATATGTACAACTAAATAAAATGCAACCAGTGAACATATATAGTGAAAAAATCCACAAGAAATGTTCTAAAAAGGAATATATGGGTCTTTATGAAAGTTGCGAATATTCAGAAAGAACCAACATTAAATGTATTATAAAACAAAATTGCCATTTAAATACAGTTTCCATGTGAATATTTGTAGAATGTGAAATGGTGAATTGTGTAGAAAGTCCTAAATGGTAATATTTAAGTCCCCCCGTCAGTATCTTGGACACCAGTTAAACTTTTATTCAGAGTATACTGTGAGGTCTTAAATGCCATTTAACACCCAGTCATGACATCTTGAGGGGTCTTAAATGCCATTTATAATCCAAAAAAACATTTACATATGAGGAGGTGGGATTGTTCCCATGTTAAAAGAGTTCGGGTCCTTCTTAACCATGCGTGACAGTTTGGATCCGGCCATAGCAAGACCGCATCCTGCGAAACATGCAACGAATCCGGAGAGCACGGCAAAGGCGTAGGACCATGACAGGTAGTTGAAGTCAGGGCGCGGCATCCAGGTGCGGTCACCGCTTAGGGCACCAAATACAATCACCACCATTCCTTCTATGATACCTAGGCAAAGGGAAAAAATAGATACAGACTAACTATTTGGTTAAATTGAGTAGGTTTATCTGTCGGGTATTAATCACTGTAGAAATTTTCAGAAAAAAAAATTTTTTTGAAGAGTATTTGAATCTCTGTCGTGTCCATTTGTCTGCCTCGTAGAGTAACGACATGCCAAAAGGCAAAATAAAACATTGTATGAGTTCAGTTGAGGTTTCTTGACTATGGGTTACATATTATGTGTTCACAACACAAGTAGCACAAAAAATCTTGGCTATCTCAGTGCTTGGTCTTTCAAAAAGGGGAGGATGCTGAGCTGACTTACCACTAGGTAGCAGCAGTCATAGCATTTTAACAATATGTAGTAAAAAATCAATCTGATAAGGATACGTACAATTTATAAGGTTAGGGCTTCCTAAATGCACAGGTCATAAATTTATAAATCTAGTCAAATATTAGGACCAGAATTAATCACATGGCTATACTTACATGCGCAAACCATCAAGAAAGCTGACAGGTAAATAGAGGGAACCTCAAGCGTTGTGGAGCAACATCTCATGTAGTAGATACTTTGAATACACAAGGCCAGGAGTTCTAGAACCAAGGCAGATACTGATAGCCACTGGGCGGCAATGAACCAGGCTGGAATGAGAAAAAATGTGATTTTATTTAATAAAATATTTATAATACTTTGGATACACAAGACTGAGAGTTCAAGAACCAATGAAGACAAACACTGGACAATAATGAACAAGCTAGAACAATTAAAATGCAATTATAGCATTTAATGAAATGTTTAAGATAATTTGTAATAGTAAGTGTAGTAAGAGCAATTGTAAATGATGAACAATTTTCATGTGCGTCGGCATGCTGTGTAAGCGATATCATTGATAAGAATTACAAAAAGTGAAAAAGTATGTGAGCAGCATTTAATAATTTGGGGGGAATATCTGTAACATCACTTACAGACATTAAGTGACAGTGGGCCATGCTTTAACAACAGAAAAAAATGCAAAGTAAAATATCTAAACATGACACTTATCAAATATCAGGAAACCTCATTAGCTGGTAAAGCATAATGTTAAAATTATTTTAAAAAATGAGCTAACTTTGATGTTTCTGATAGAATTGGTTTCATTTAGACTCTACCTGGTATAGGTTAGTGCAGTATATGAAGTGTTAACCTCATATAATACTTTTCAAACATTTTAAAACTCAGCAAGTTGATTTTTTTTTCATCTGCTCTAATCTAACAGTTTTTGGCAGACCCAAGAAAAGATGGTCTAGTTGGCTTCTGTAGAGATAAGTACCTATTTAACACTTTCACTGTATCATGTTAGCTCATATATTATGTATCGTTTTTCAGTAAAAAAATATGTTGTGATTTCAATTAATCAGCTGTCTAAGTGCCACAAATATTTTAAAGAATTCTGGTTTTCATGAATTAATCTCTTCAGATTTTATATTTAAAGAAGCAGAGTTCTTAAAATTTCAAACTTCTCTTTACTTCCTAAATAGCAAGCAGCCATTTTGAATTCCCAGCAACTGACTCACAGTTAAAAACAAAATCACACCTTGACCTAATTTTACCTGCGGGTATAACAAACACTAGGTTTGCTTATATTCCAATGCATATAATATAAATAAATATATTAATATATATTTTTTTCAAAGTCAGTACTTACGTGGCATAAGAAACTCCCTAATGTTGAAGTATTCTGGTGAATAGACCCACCAGCATCCAACATAACTTTTAGCAAGGTAATCCTGTGGGTGAGTGAAGGCGTTGAAGCAGAATTCCCATAATCCTGCTCTGAGAAAATCGCTCTGCGTTCTCTCCCATGACTGTATCCAGTGAGGGCTACAGAATGCCACAACGTGGAAGATGAGAGCTATGAAAGTGAGGATAAAACTTGCTATAAAGACTGGACTCTCATTTCTCCCACCATTCGCCATCTTGGATTCTCTGTCCTCTGTCTCACCTGTACAGGTGGGTGGACGGGTAGATTTTAGGGAGAGGACAAGGAAAATTATAAATCTTGTATTCCTTTATGTTTTATGATAGCAGAAATTTATGACTCACTTCTAACATAAAATCCTATGCATTAGTAGTGATATTATAAAAACATTTTGTGGTATTTGCCCTGTTTTGTTATATTTATCTGAAAAAAAAATTACTCTCTGTCTCCCCCTATAATTGAGACCTGCTCTACCTGTTGATTCACTTGCATGGCGGTTAAAGTGAAAATGAGGCTGCCAGACATTAAACAAGGAATGTGGGTCTACTGATTAAGTGGAGGGGGTGTCAGGTGGTTCTGAATTCACTGCCAGGTAATACTGAAGAATTAAGTGTTGGGTGCCAGGATAGCTGAATCTCATTTGGGAATGAATGTGTGGCCAAGAGATGTGTTAGCATAATGGATGTTAATTAATTTTAAAGATATTTAAAAGAGTATACAATAAAGATTGCTTAAAGAACTTTTTGTGGTGAAAAAAAAAAAAAAAAAAAAAAAAAAAAAAAACAGTTCCGTATAGGAGTTCATTTATTTATTCCTTATTTTTTATTTCAGTATTTATTGTTTCAATTATTATTTATATTTATTTTAAAAAAAATTTAATGCTGAAAGCAGTGTGAAATTTCATGGCATTTTGGCATTATATTTTGTATTAAAATGGACAATACTAATAAATATTGATTTTACATTACTTCGATAATAAGGATAAAAAACAAAAAATGTACTGTGTAATATGTCATATTTTTAACTAAAAGTAGATTTCTCAGATAAAGGAAGAGAAAAAAATATGAACATATTAATTGTATAAAAAATTAATTTTTATTACATTTTTGTATATATTTTTATAAATATAATTTCTTTAATTTCTAGTACATGTACATACTTTGGATTCATGTATAAAAATTGTTTCACCCACTTTATTTCACCAAAAAATGAATCATGCATAAAAATTCAATTTTTATCTTGAATTTTCTCCATCCCATGTAGCATCAGAATTGAGTTGTTTTTATTATTATTATTTTATTTTACCCATCAGTGATCACTTTTAAGTAAAAGTCGCAACGTTTTTTCTTTTCCAGTATGGTTTGACCCCACTGACCTCCACAAGGCAGAGAAGCCGTTTCACAGCGATGCCTTCACCAAGATCATGTACACGTCCCCGAATATCAATGAACTGAGACACATGAGGCGGGGGTTGATGGGAGGGACAGGGGAGATTGAAACAGGTGAGCAGGGAATGGTTTTGAAAATTCCAGATGTGTCTGGCACGCCCCCTTACAAAGCAACATGAACAGCATCATGAACTATGAAGCTTTCCCGACTTAACCCAAGTACTTTAAGTAACTCCTTGGGGATTCTCACTAAATTGCTTTCAGTTCAAGCAGATTTCATGTCTGACACCCCCCAACCCCTCCTTCAAAACTTAAAGTACCTGGATAAAGTGGGGGAAACTTAATGGTCCATGATGTTGTTCATGTTGCTTTGCCAAGAGGGCTTGGTTGACAACTAAGCTGATTACATTGACTGTGCCCTAGCTAGAATCCCCGCTGAGATAGATATGTAACCTGGGAGCAGTCAGGACTCCTTATTTACTATAATTTTGTCATTATATATATTGTTATTATTATTATCATGGGCGGGGATCAGTCAAGGCTCTCTATTTCCTATTGTTATTAATAATAATGATAATATTGTTATTATTATACCCTCAGGCTAGACAGATGACTAACCTCTGAATGCCTTGCTAGATTTATTATGTATTATTATTATCATTGGCTGGGATCATTCAGGACTCCCTATTTACTATTATTATTTTTTTTTTTTAATACCCTCAGGCCAGACAGATGACTTACCTCTGAATACCTTGCTAGAAGAAAGTGTGGAGATATGCAGACAGTTAATAGAATACATTCCAAACATCTTAGTGACTTTAGGAAAGCATGGTATTTTACTGTGCAGGAACTCTAGCCAAGACAATCCATTCCCATACAAAGGAAAAATTGTGCCAGTAAGTAATGCTAGGTACATACTTTATTTTAAAGTCCATTTTTATTATTTTTCTTTTTTTTAAATATTTTTTATGTACAGATAATGTTGCATCTGTACTTATAACCCTGACCAAAACATGTGGTACTTGTCAGGTACATATTAAGTCTTATTACAAGCACTTGTCTGTACATTTGACAGCCTTTTCTAACTCATCGCAGAACCATTCTCGCATTTTGAAGACTACCACTTCTAAGTGCAAAGTGAGTATGTAGTTTACATGAATTCCAAATTTAATTCTAGTAGTTTTTAATGTGTTGCATAATAGGCAATGATGGTAAGGCATTATGATTAAAGGCATACTCTACACATTTTAAACATGCTTTCGGTATTGCAAATCTTCTCATCTTTCCAAATTCAGACCTAAATGAAGAAAAAAAACCCTCACATTAAAGTATCTGAGTTCAATATTTCCTTCTGAAGGAAAAAGGAAAATGGCTAAATTATCCACTAGCGATGATGTCATGGATTCCCCTTCTCCCAAGCACACCAATCCCAGCAGAGCACATTAAATCTTGGCTTGCTTTCAATTGTGTCATGCAATATTTCAGCTGCTGACTGGGATCAACTGGTTGTGAATGTTTTCTTACATTAAAATGAGATGATGAACTGACTTGATGAATAATGGCTGAATTGTGGCAAGCATTTGTAAAGGTGATATGTCACTTAATTTGTGTACTGAATTATTTATTTTTGATTATCTGTTGGGACAAGAGCTTGCTTAATTTTTTCTTTCCCTTTTCCAGTCTGAAGGAGCCTTGACTGCCATGTATTGTCCAGCGTATGCACAGGGCCAGCAACAGGTGCCCCTGGTCAGTGTATCTGGAGCTGGAGACAGGTAGAAATAAATAAATAAATAAATAAATAAATAAATAAACAGGGCCAGCAACAGGTGCCCCTGGTCAGTGTATCTGGAGCTGGAGACAGGTAGAAATGAATAAATAAATAAATAAATAAATAAATAAATAAATAAATAAATAAACAGGGCCAGCAACAGGTGCCCCTGGTCAGTGTATCTGGAGCAGGAGAGAGGTATAAATAAATAAATAAATAAATAAATAAATAAATAAATAAACAGGGTCAGCAACAGGTGCCCCTGCTCAGTGTATCTGGAGCAGGAGACAGGTAGAAATAAATAAATAAATAAATAAATAAATAAATAAATAAATAAACAGGACCAGCAACAGGTGCCCCTGCTCGGTGTGTCTGGAGCCAGAGATGGGTAGAAATCAATCAGTAAATAAAAAGGAACTAACTATAAGGTAAATGAATAAAATTAAAAGCTGTGTTTTAAGGTGAAATTGTGATATCCAAACATTTTAATTGCACAGCTCTAGCTGTCACTGTGACAACATGTTGTAATTGTTCCCCATCTGACATCATTAGAAAGTAGCAACAATTATTAAATAGTTATTATGTCGATACTTGTTATTGTATTAGAGTAATTGTCAAATTCATTGCATGTGTGTGTGTGCACATGCATAGGATAGATTTTTAAATGCACAGGAATAAAGATCATAAAGGTTTTCTCAAATAATTTTAAAACTTGCTTTATACTGTTCCGCTTTACGTACTTTTTTTTAGTCTTTTCTATAATATTATTGTATTTTTTTTCTTGTTTCCCAGTATGGTGGCAGCCATAGTCTACAGTTTACTTAGAGACATTCCAGCTGCAGACTGTATCAAGTACGGACTTCTTGCCGCTACCCTCTCACTACAATCTCATCATGCAATAATACCCAGCATGCACCAGAAGTTACAGGAACACAACATCAAGGACATGTGCTGGAGAGACAGTCACTTAGAGATATAAAGACTATGATCACCTGAATACCACTTACAGAGAGTGGAGACCTCCACCAAGGATCACCTGAATACCACTCACAGAGAGTGGAGACCTCCACCAAGGATCACCTGAATACCACTCACAGAGAGTGGAGACCTCCACCAAGGCAGCTCAAGTCAATTAACATTCTTATTCGGTTAATAATTGGTGAATTAATTAATAGAGAGAGGAGACCTCCACCAAGGCAGCTCAGATCAATAAGTATTAATTAATAAGTATTAAGAAGTATTGTAAGTTATTAATTAGTGAATTAATTAGTAGATTAACCAAAAATAACCAATTATTATGTTAACCTATATCTATAACATATAAAACATATAATAATACAACATATTAATAGACTATAAATGACTATTTTGGTGGGTTCAACAAATTGGGTTATTTCTGTATTCTGGTTACAATATTCTATCTGAGTCTCTGGTATACTGGTCTCTACAACTTTCTCAACCTGTGCCATCAACCTTGTTCCTTTTAACTATTTCCTTCAATCATATTCTCTCAAATGCCAGCTATGGTCAGTTGCTACCTTTTTATCTAAAATGCAGGGAGTTACATGTATGTGGGAGGCTGTCCTAAATCTTATTGGTTAATCTTAGTTTGATGGACAGGTGACTCTGGTCACCTGACTTGTAATTATTTAAGTTGGTTTAATTACAACCGGTTTCTTGAAAGAAAAATTATTCCGTGTCAGTTTTTTAAAAACAGTATAACTGTAATCACTGGCTAATTATCATGAACCTTAAGTGTCAGTTTTTAAAAACAGTATAACTGTAATCACTGGCTAATTATCATGAACCTTAAGTTGTCTTTATCTACTAACAGAAAAAAGAATGATTTAACTGATGAAATTAGGTGCTTGTCCATAAGAGAACCAATTGACCTGGTGAGGATTGGTGAAGTTCATGTATTCATGCAAGTAAGAAATTTATTCATGAGTTAAGAATAAATCACAAAAAATTTTTTTGTAAGAGAGTTGTAGGTCATGGCTCACATAGTCTCTTTGAGTTCCAGTTTTCACCTTGGTAAACGGTGGTATATTTCGTGTAAATAGAATGAAAATGGTAAAAACTAAAAAAAAATATTAAACCTTATAAACATTAAAAAACAATCATTTGGTTTGCCACAGATATACAGTGTATGTAGAATTCAGGTAGACACCGCATGGGTGAATTACACCCCATCAATATATTGTACACAGGTAATAATATAACAGTTGATGAATTTGTTTTTGGTGCAAAATTTGTCATATATAAGATTGCATGTAAACTGAGTTGGACATATCATATCTGTGTGAGCTAAACAAACGAACGGCACACGGGTCAGCGATTACAAGTGCACCCATACTGGGGTCATGCCGATGCTCCCCCGCACCGTTACTCCCCCGCACCGATACTCCCCCGCACCGTTACTCCCCCGCACCGATACTCCCCCTTAGTAAATTTTTGCATTATGCACAGCGATACGACCCCACACTGATAGATCCCCGCATCGATAAACCCCCTGTAAAATTGCCGTTATGCGCGCACCCTTACTCCCCCGCACCGATACTCCCCGGCGTTGTTGTTTCCCCGCACCGTTACTCCCCCGCACCGATACTCCCCCGCATCATTACTCCCCCTGTGCAATTTTGCCGAAACTGAGGATCGAGTAACAGAGTCAACCCTCCATTTAATTATACAGGTTAGGGTCAGTCTAGGTAAGTGGATCAAAATCTACGACCCGTTTAAGTCCAAATTTTGCGGAGAATCTCATGTACCACGCAAGTCCTTTATGCGAAATTTCGAGTTCGCACGTATGTAAGCACGTACGGAGGATATTGAACATTTCCAATAGTTTCTACGAATAATCTGCGAACAGCGAGGCCGCAAGCGTAATTTGCTCCCTTTCTAAGGAGTTTGCGATTGGTTTGCAAGTGAGACTTGCCTGGTCCAAGATGCACGCCGCAAGAAATGAAGGAGAAAGAGCCCTTTGCGTGTTGAGTACGGCGCACGCCCTCACATCTATAACGAACAAAATCGAAACAAGACGGGACTGCGACTATAAGAGGCGTGTTCACGACGCATGCTCGTGTCTCGACAATTTCGTTGTGCAACAATTTTCAAAATTTTTGAATTTTGCTCAATGCAGATTCTAATCTAATTCAGATTCAAAAGACAAGGGAAAGAAGCTTAAAGAGCAGAAAAGAAGGTTGGAGGAAAAAGACAGAAAACGAATCGCTTTAGCACTTCTTTTTTATTACTTAATAATTTTACGAATTAATCGTTGCCTGAAAAAAAAGACATAGCTGTGTTATCTTAGATTAAAACTAACTTTGCCTTAAGTTAATAAAAAAATNCTTGCAAAAGAAAAACAAGAAATGTAACACACCAGAACACTTGAAAATGATTCAATTGAAGATGTAAAACCTTGTGTTTCACATCTGTCAGAAAATGTCCCGTCAGAGACAGAAAATGTCCCGTCAGAGACAATGATAAAATGTGGCAATAAATTCACTGTAAATTGTTTTAATTTTGTAATTTTTAGCTATAATCATTACTTATCATTATTTAAAAGAGGATTTTAAGTTTCATTTATACAACCTACCAGATGTGGAAAATATGAAAACTTTTCGAAGTTAAATGTCTCTGACGGCACACACCACTCATTGCGCTAAATAATTTTTTACTCAAAATAAGTGATATGTGGCAGTTTTCTATGTTAAACTGATATGTGGCAGTTTTCTATGCATCGGCCCAGCCCTGTGGGCTTACAAAGTCACGGGTTTTAACAATAATTATATGACAACTTCTTTACGTTTAACTTCTTTACGTATATATTTCCCATTTGATAAGCACCTGACCAACTTCCCTTCTGCGGCTCCGTGGCATCTCCGCCGTCTTGGACACGACTGAACACTTGTACACAGGTTCGAGCCCTTGTGAGATCAATGCAAACTTTTTTGATGGAAATAACATGTCGATTTGTCGCGAAAATCCCCGAATCATGTTCGCGATAAGTACACGTTATACGGTACGTGTATGTCAACGTGTATTGTATTTAACGAACCATTTTAGACCAGCTTTATGACTTTAATCAAAACATTTAAATACTATTCGTCAGAGAAATGAAAAAAAAAATTAGAGCTTGAAATGCGAAAGCAACTTTGAATAAGAAAACTGTGGTGTCCGTACATGCACGACCATGACTCAACTTATCGATAATAAATAACAAAGTTCTATTTTTTTATTTCATTTTATTGAATTTTAAAGCTTGTTAAGCAAGGAGCAACATGTCCAGATTCTAAATACGTTTATATCCCCCAGACAATTAACTTTTTAACTACGATATGTAGAGAAATATGTGTGTAAGCCATATCACAGTGCAGTTTCATCACGTTACTCTGGCATTACCAGAAACTAAAATATTAAAAGGGCCCACATGAATAGAGAAAGTATCTGCCACTATCTGTACGATGTGTCTGTATGGTATTTGCTCTCTCTCACCCCTTTATACAGACATGATGGCAGAATAGTTACAAGAGGATTCCACATAATAAATTTGAAGAGTATTCGTGAAATGTAGAACCACATTATGTCATATTACACGTTAAATCAGCCAATGGCTTCAATCTTGATGAGGCCTACACGAAATATTTAGCATTTTCACGTCATGTTATATAGCTTGGAGAGGTTGACAATTTATAATTACCTAATTGCTTGCTATTACGTAAAAAGTCACTTTCAGCGCCGTGTGCGATATCGATAACAAATAAATAAATAATTGACACGGTCGATAAACTTAAGGAGCAGGGCGCAAACTTGTGACAGGTAAACATGTAGTTAAGGCCGCTGCTGCGTTAAGTTTCTCAATTGCACTGGCACAATGATATCGCTAAGGAATAAGACTGAAACACCATCAACACTGAATTAAATGTAAGGATCAGATATTCATGAATAGCCTAGCTGTTCTTCAGTATGCACGATATTTTTATGTCATTATCAAGTCCTGGTGACAAATAGAGACATTTCCTAAATATGAAATATCGTTTTAATTGTGAAAGCTCCTATCATTGATATTGTCAGTATTACTGCAATGAGCATGACGTTACGGCCAAACCGCTGCATGTCTCTAGGGAGAAGATAGCAACTGAATTCTACCGTAAGGTGGAACAACACGTACGATATAATCAAATAAATCACAGTTGAGAAGGCGAGATTTAGAAGCGGATAACCTGGAATATACCCTATAAGTTCTTTTGCGTTTGACTGCAGGTAGACGTGTAGCTGACTGAGATAAGTTTCAAGGGTAATTTTCCCCAAAAACGCAAACAAGTTCAGATAGTGTGTCCTCGCTACTGGGAATAAGTTCCTGAGCACTATGAAAATAAGGATTGGGGTCCAGGAGGTGTACGGATGGAGCGCGTTATATTCGTGTTTATCTTTCGTCATGACTTCTTCGTACCATATGATACCAATAACGACGGCCACGCCCGCCATGCAGAGCTTAATCCCAAGAGACGTGAGACGCTCTCCCTTATAGGACGCTTTTTCATCCAACCAATTCATTAGATTTTCGTAGTGCGGATAGTTATAGGCGCACAGCATTCCAACAAAAGTCGCCCAATGATCCAAACCGCCTCTGAACGCCCACTCGTGCATTAAGGGATAATTCCCGTTATGGAACTTTAGGATAATCCAAGCAGGGTAAAACACCTTCTCACATACCCCAGGGACGTCGAATATGATCGCATTTGCCAAAGCGTACGCTGCGAATTTGATGAGCATCAAAAAGCGGTTCTGGTTCCACGAGTTAAATGTGCGCATGAAAATATAGACCGTTAAGAACCAGTACGTATGCATGGCGCAGATGTAGTAATTCATGTACTCGTTGTCGGTCACTGCACACATCACGATGACCAGGAAGTTAAGACGGAAGAGCATCTTGAGCATGCGCCACAGGGAAAAGTCTTTCCGAACCCAGAAGAAAGAAAAATTGCCTGAAAAAAATAATCACCAGCCTAATACATAATTTGGCCAATAACCAAACCATTCTTTTTTCTCCTCGGGTGACAATGAATATGAGTGAATATCCATCTTGCAATATTTGGTGTTTGTCATCTAATGCATGATTCTAATAATTTAAAAATAGTGTTGACCTAAATTAGATTGTTTTAGTGTGTTTGGAGAAATGATTTTGATTTTCCATTTGACTGAAAGGAAACCCATAGTTAAGTTATTTGTGAGTGATCAGCCGTCTCAGAAACAGACCTACCGAAGCCTGTCATCCAGACATAGGCCGCGATGTACACGCGAATCCAGTTGTACCATTCCTTGGCGGCGAAGTAGTGGTACCATACAAACATCACCTGCATCCATCCTTTCCATTCTTCCGTCTGGTCCCTGTAAATGACATTGAGCGCCACATGATTAAATTACCTTGTACTGTTACCAGAAATGTCTTGATGTGAAATAGTTTTTGTATTATCCATGACCCGTGTAAAGCACGCAGTCGAATGTTGAAGGCCTTTTGGCACAGGGTTGATATACATCATGATTCATAAATGTAGGTAAAACTACATTGTGCCTTCTTTAAAGTTTTGATTTCTTTTTACCAATAATAAGTTTCTTGTAGCATTTAGTTCCTTAGGGATAAGTTGGAGACAATGATTGAGATTCAGAAAATAACGGGATTCAGAAAATAATAATAATCAAAGTTGTACCTGTTTATCAGTTTATCAGCGGTTGGTGTGACGGTAAATGCACTTGCCACCAGGAACAAAAGAAACACCAGGAACAGAAACGTGTCTCGTACATAAACTCTCTCGGTGGCCGGAAACACCTGGGGAATGGAAAAGAGAAATGAAAGAAATCACGTGGTTAAGGCGCAGTCAGTACGTGGTCAATTCAAATATGAATACCACGTGCACATTGCTCTTTGCATTGTATAAATGACTATAACATTTAATACGGTATCAAGCTGAACCGTGTGTAAAGGCACAAAGGGTGAAGGTCAAAAAAAGTCACGGCGTTCGAGTACATACACAAGTACAGGTAAAGGCTGCTATAAAAGAAAAATAATTAACGGTCCGCCTACCTTTCTGTAATCACAAAGATAAAAATACATCATGATGGCCCCAAACACCATCACGTATTTCAAAAAGTCGTCAAAAGAACATGGCGGCTTCACGCTTGTGAACGTCTTGTCGTTGCTCTTTAATTTCCCGCCATTTGGGAATTGTCCGTTATTTGGCTGTGTACTACTGACCACCACCATGTCAACTTTAACGCTATTGGATTTATTAGTTTCCCCACATATTTCAGTGCCGTTCTCTAGTTTTGTCAAAGTATCCTCAACTGCAGTCTTATGGTCAGCGGGCTGACCCTCTTCCCCTTCATCCTCAGCCTGCTTCGCTTTAATCAGGCCATCTTTTAGTGTAGGGGTCGTTTGGGTATCACGTTTACCCCGACAACGCCGTATCAACCACACCGCCCCGCATACCACCCATATGAGAAACAGAGCTAGCTGTTGGAGGGTGATTTCATGGCGGGGATAGAAAAAGACCGCCTTTGGTGTCGTTGAAGTGTTCTCTGCAGCTAAATTCGTCTTCAACAAGTCCATGGTGTGTCTTCGGCTTCTCCGATTCTAATTTGTTTTAATAATGGCGTAAATGGTTAATTGTGAAATATTTGTAGTGTGATCCACATGCCTCTACCTGGCGTGCGCACTGCTACTCCTTTTTTTTTCTTTTTGCCAGGACAAGATTAATTCCGCCAATCAAAGTCAATAAATAACTGATTAGTACAGCTAGCATTTAATAATACCATCGTTGCCGGCCGCATTGTTGACTCGTGTAACTAAGTCACCCATAGTCCTCATATGGCCGATGTTTCTTCAGCCGTCATCTCTAGAAAAATATGTATGATATACGTTTATTATTTTCAGTATGATCCATTTTGGCAATGTTTGAGACCAACAAGCTTAAACTATTCCCTTTGACGTGTCATCTGTCGTTTGTATCACCTATTGCCTCTATATAAACCGCTATGTTCTGCGAAATAGGCCTAATATGCTGGCATCGTAGGCTGAGTAGTTAAAATATTAATGCAGGCATTTGCTTGAAGGCAAAGTGAGCGCAATAAATAATACAGTGAAACAGATTTCTGTTCGTATCAGCTTGAAGGCAGAGAGAGAGAGAGAGATCAAATAAGCATTGCTCTGAGGCACAGAGAGAGGTGGTGGTGATGATGGCGACGCACTTTAATAAAATAGATGCCGTATACCCGCGTTAAACAATAAATATATACCGACCACGTAAGCACTCCAGTCTCTACTATTCTTCAAACCTTGCCCCTACCCCCCTAGCTTTACTTATTGGCAACTGAAATTAAATGCAAAAGAGCGTCTGGTGTGACAGCAATGGTGGTCGGCTAGGGACCGTAGTACGTACCCCATACGATGACATTTGTCCCAGATACTAACCCCAATACTCCGACTAACCCTAACCTGTATAATCATATGGGACCCCGGACTTCAATTCCTAGGAATTAAGCGAATGAGAGAGAGAGAGAGAGAGACAGAGAGATGGCCAGGATGATAATGATGATAAAAATCGTACTCGCACACCTGTTTAGTATGCGCCGAATAAACATCATGTTAAACACTCCAGACCCCACCCAGCAATAACAGCATTGATAGGTAAATGACATTATATGCACAGGAGCTCCTGGCACTTTGTACCAAATGGCGACATCTATATTCTTTTCAAATAGTCATCATACGTACCTAAAATCGTGGCAGCCACGCTGCGTTTAGGTGCTTGATCTAACAAAATAAGTAACGAGTTATATACGATTTAGATATTAAGTATATTCTTACCTAGACCCCAGGAGACAGAAGATTACAACGGTGCCTGCAAGTTCTATCCCTACTAGTAGTCAGCCAAGTAGTTTGTCATATCGTCAGGAGGAGATCGTATGCAGACGATATCTTCTCCGAGTCGTAACACGCCCTCTGACACAGTCGACGTGGCTCTGTATATGCGTAGATCAGTATTTGCCTAGACTGGCTGCACTCACCCATAACGCTCCACCCAATACTGTATTTAACGCCCATCAATGAAGGATTATATCATTACTGGTAAGATATACCGGTACACGGTGAGCACTCACGTAGTGGCTGTGTATCATTTTTTTTTTTTTTTTTTTTTTTTTGAGACCCAAGGATTGCAATTCATACAGTATACGTATATACATATTAAATTTATGGGTAGCATGTAGTACTACATGTAAATGGAGTGTGCTACTTCCTATATGGTTTATTTATTGCTGCTGCTCTAAATTATAACTGAAAGGGATGACAACGCTTCATTTTGGCAGGAAAATTGCCATAAAATGGATTTTCTTGGTGCAAACGACAATTTTCCCATACTTTCCAATTCAAAGAAAGTTGATTGTTATATTTTTTTATGTGTTTTATTGTAATTATCTCTAAAGATATTATTATGGGGCGTAACAAGGTCCACGAGGTATGATGGCAAGTACAGACTCCAGAATAATTGCGATAATTGCCATTTAATTATTTCCTGTTAAAACGGGATATATCCATAAGTGTTGCTTACAATGTTTTCAATGTGGAATTTTGAATCTCATATGAACAGTATCTATCCTTTTAATCAATTCTGTTTATGCATGCATTTGTTACATAATAATTTATTCATCTAATTATTTTATTCTATTAAATTTTAAGTTTTTAAAAATATTAATTGTTTTTCATTTATCTGTTGCTGAATACATTTTGCTTTTTGTTTGTTCTCGTATTTATTTACTAGTGTTCACATTAACTTGAAAAGTGCTATAATTTTGATCTGTGCCCATATTTCTTTTTATTTATTTATTTATTTTATTTTTTATTTTATTATTTTTATTTATTTATTTATTTTTTAGTCTTGAAAAATACTTGAAATTCCTGTAAGCCTTGCAAAGGGCTTGTGTTCTATTATTATTGTCACTGGGAAGCATTGGGATTTGATTATTAAACAATTTGTCATAAAATCACTTCAAATCGTGTGGTTTTAACTGAATAGAGACAATAATTTGCAGACGAAGAGGATACCCCTTTTTCGGAACGTCATTTTATTTCGTTCTTGTTTTTTGGTTGTTTATAACCTGCGATGCGTCGTCTATGTGTAATAATATAAAGTTTATGTGAAATAATGTTAATAAGCCATTTTCCTTCTGGTATGTGCACTTATAAATATTAGTAAGTTCCCCTCCTTTACTTTAATTAGTCCCTTAACATAGTAGTTCCTCCCAAAGTCACTGAATTTGCATAATGCACTCATGCACAACAGACACCTGTTGAATTGTGTTAGTTGCGACTGAAAGGGATGTTCTTTCTCAACCGACACAATCATGTGTAGCTGTATGTCAACTGTCTCAACTATATCATTTGATGCTTTTATAACTTATAACCGATTATACAAAGAAATAGTCGAAATGGAATTTATTAATAATCATGGAATTATATGATTATATGATTACGATGTAAATGGACAGACTGAAAATTTAGGCGAGGAAGAAACCTTCTGAAGTCCAATCCTCTACCATATTTAGCATGACCATCGGCCAGAAAAAAAAAATAAATAATAAACATACTCCATTTTTTGTTCATTTGCCATTTAACATTATACTCTGCTAGCCGTAAACCTAACTTTTTTAATAGATATGACCCAAGTAACGGATTTTCATAGTGATATTTCACTTCAAGATTAGTTATTCGCAAGCAATAACATCCTTTCATGTTAATTTTTACACCCATCATAATTTTCTTTCTTTTTCGTAACATTTCCAGTCCCGGCCTAAATAATCTAGTGTCATTCCTCTCAAGCACCCACCCTGCCTGTGTCTGCAATGATATATTATCTGGATACTGATAAGTAAAAAAATAATAATAAAATATCATACCACAACCGCAGCAGGATATTAAGGTTAATGACCTTAAGGGGTCTTTTTGTTGTGGTGTTCTTGTTTTGTAGTCGGCATATTGTTGAGGTCAATTTTTTATACATTTACTGTTATCACACCATTAAGATTAAGATACTATCATTTCTGCATAAAAACTATCTTTGTTAGGATTTAGGGTATTGTTGTGCATTCGGCATGCAAGCTGCAGATTCGTTTTCGGCCTGGATAATAAAAGGTTGTAGTGCAAAAAAAAAAAAAAAAAAAAAAGAGAGAGAGATAAAACAAAGGAAACGGATGCTGCATTTCATTTGCATTTTGTCTGGGTGAGTAGTTTGTGAAGATACTTTAGAAATGATTTACCTATTTTCAAAATGTTACTGACAGAGTTTTGTATGTACGTGGTCCCGCGCCTCTTAAGTGATTCATATTCATTCATATTCAATGTGTTCATGCAAAGAAATTGTTCTTACACTTCAGGGAACATCAGGTGGGATTTAGACCCTCTAGAATAAAATCAAATGATAAAATGAAAAACGAACCAAAATAAATAAGCAAATGACATCATCGTAATTTTCTCTTTTCGCCCCCAGTCACTTTTTAGAATAGACTTATCAAAAGTGAGAGTAATGCCATACTTACGTACATTTAAACACAGCTTCTTTCACTCTCTTTCACTGAATGAAAAGCTACAAACATTCCTAACAATCTCAGTCAGCTTTAAATTTGTAATTTCTGAACAATGTCAGTAATTTCAATTTTGAAAAAATAGCGGTACGCCCCTTGAGACATAAGTGAGCTATCTGATTATCTTAAAAGAAAATGTCATGATTGAAAAAAGTAAATAATATTATTCCCTGAAAGAGCTCTTTAACACCAACGATAAATCTTCCTCCCCTATGAATTAACATATAATTGGCCGAGTCCCTTTTAACTATGGTTTGATTTATTATAGAATATCTGTAAAAGCTACGACACGGCCCTGCTATGTGGTAAGAGTAATGTTTCCACCAATAAAATTTATGATTAATACTTCTACTTTCACCAAGAGCTAAACTGACGTCAATAAGGACCGACAATGATATTGCGGTTTATTTTCTTTCTTTGCTTTATGTAAGTCGGAATAATGGAATGTTGAAGTCATATAAGTCAAAATACTTAGCATTTTGGCTTTATGATTGGCACATAATTCGCCTGAACATAGAATGTGGGCAAAGAAAGAAAGACAAAACGAACGAAATATTAGATTTTAAGGTCTGGATTTGGAAAGATTTGTAGCTTTATTTTGCAGGGTAGGTAGAAATATAAAATATGAATTAGGGACAATTTCAAACACGTGATCCTTTGAGCGTTGCAAAGGTGATAAATCTTTATAATAATTTCATATAAAGTCCTGGTCCAACCTTCCTGGCTAAACTTATAAAATTATATAAAATGATAAAAAATAGGCAAAAATGACGGTGATGAATTGCATACACACGTTTCATATTTGTAGTGGTACATGTAGTAGTAGTTTTTCAGAAAGATTGGAGATACAATTAATAAATTATGCTAGTAGATTACATTCTTTTACAGCAATAAAGAAATGTTTGTGTCATAGATGGCTTACTTTACGTAAACCCCTCAAATAAATGTCAGCTCGATGTTTGCTCTATGTATACAGGCCCGTAGGCAGGGGGGGGGGGTTCGCGGGGTTCGAAAGAACAGCCCCTTTTGTCAGGAAAAGGTTCATTTTGGGTAAAATTGTATCTAGATACACAAGTTTCATTCTAAAAGGTCCACTTTCTCAGGAAAAGAACACCCCCCCTACCTTTTGAATTTACTAGCTACGGGCCTGGTATAGCACTCGTAATTTTCTTTTTCCTCTTACCTTTTGTTCTTTGTAAAGGCTAAAAGGGTGCATTAACGTCATTTGTAAGGGGGCACCCGGATTTGAACCGGGGACCTCTCGATCTGCAGTCGAATGCTCTACCACTGAGCTATACCCCCTGGAATACATTCATTGTAGAAATAATAATGATAATAATAATGTTGGACGTGAGGTGTCTATGCTACTTAATTTGCTACAGATGTTTTGACACAGTCTATAAGAAAAGGGAAATAAATGACTAATACTATATAAAACATACACCAGCAATTTATCTTCCCTTCTTCCCTCTAGCTACACCACTGAAAACAAGACAAAGATAAAAGATAAAAAACATCGTAGTATAGATCCCAGGTAATGATGCTGTGAAGAATGAAAAAAAAATATATATATATAAATCAAATCAACGGGAGGCGTGTGAGAAAGCCCATAATCACTTGTCATGTCGCGTTTGCAAGCCCCCCCCCCCCCCCCCCCCTTTTGCCGAGAAAACTTTTATCTGGGTGTACGAAGATTTCATGGTAAAAGGTCCAATTTTTCAGAAAAAGAACAACCTTTTTTCGTAATTGTTGGCTACGGGCCATGATGGCCTAAAATAATCCAGTTTTTCAAGGGATTTGGGGCGGAGTTGAGTCAGAAAGAATGGCAGGTTAGAGCAATGCGGTGCAGCAACGGATGAAAGCAGCCAGGAAAAAGCTGGGTGTTTTCTCTTAGTTTTGTCAAATTACAGGCTATTGCACAATCGTATAAATTCATGGTATTTTGGCCGTCACTCTTTTATTGCTTTCTGAAAAGGCAATGTCTGTTTGAGTATCACCCTAGTCTCACGCGAATCTCGCGCGTGTTCTAGTCTCGCATGACGTCACGCAGTGCCGGTGACCTCGTTTTAGGCTATCTTGAAAGATTTCCTGTGTAGTCTATGGTATTATTCGGCACGGTACTTTTGATGTGTCAAATACATGTAAGACTCCGGACAATGAAATAATCTCACGAACATTTGCGGCTTACCATAGTATTTATGATTAAATAGTAGGTTGTGAAGAATTAGTGGCGATAAACAGCCCATCTGGTGGAGGGAAACTATCCTTCGACATAAGCAGTAGGCTCCACATGCAACTTGAGTTATCATTAATTTTGCATTGAACATGTTTTGTATCAAAAAAAAAAATAATAATAATAATAATAAATAAATAAATAAAATAAATAGACTTATAGGCTTTCCCGGATTTTTCTGAAATATTAACATTTTTTGGATAGGACCTCGGAATACTAGTATAAATGATGATTTAACTTTCGATTCTAATTCATTAATACATCTCCAG